ATTCCATCTTATTTATTTTTTTCCTTTTTCTTATGTGTTAACTTGGATTAATATTTTTGTTATAATTAAATAGATAATAAGTTGTTTTTCGATTTTTCTCATATACAACAAGTATGGAACATTGTATGATTTTCAAATTATATTATATAAGTGTATGGAATATAATGTGTAAGATTAAAAAACTTAGTATAAGATTTGACGTTTTCTTGAAAACGTGGCACCATAAGTATAGGTAGTCTCATAAATATTGGCTATCCATATAAGAGGACTACCATAAAAATAATATAGTCAAACCATTTCTCAACTAAACTTGTCAACAGAACTTCGAGAGAAGGTAAGAAAATGAGGAGGTTAGTTACCAATCCCACACAAGGGAAAATATTGCTCACACGCATTGTATGACATATACTCCCATTAATCAATAATTTACTAATATTATTAAATTTCACAACGTTTAATGAAAATTTGTTCTTTTGTGACAATGTGGTGCGAGACTAAAACTTGAACACCATATTCTTCTGTTGTTTCTTATTCTTTATTGTTGATAATAATATAGCTGGAACCAGCCACTAGCACTTCACCTGAATACTAGCAGCTAGTTCATGTCTATGTGCTCTATATTATTTATGGTTTTAAATGAGTTAGTACTAATAATTGTACTTAATGATGATATTGTATGCATAGAAGTAGTATTTTAGAACTTGAGATATATTTTTTCTAAACATAATTTAGAATACTCCGAGGAATTATAATGTAGAGCATATTATATTTAATGATACATATATTCATTTTTTATGGATAATTTAAATATTGACATTTGTTATAAATCCAATGATCGAAGTATACTATAAATATTGTATAAGTGACTTTCACTATTTACTAATTACATGTTGTTAGTTTTTGTCTATACTAGTTTCTTTCTATAACAGACTTTGACGATGGGTTGTGTTTTTAGAATTTTTTAAATGCGTTTCTTTAAAGGGATGGAGCTATATTTTAAAGCGAGTTTGATTGTTTAGAAGTAAAGAATACGAATGTGCGTTTTTTTTCCATTATGGTTGATTTTTTAGAGAAATTTTCCATTATTTTAGTTTTTCTTAAAAAATGGTACTTACTATGAAAATTCCTTATTATATTTTTAGTATATTGTCTATATAATATTCTTATGAAAAAAGAAAATAAAAAATCGAACTATGGAATCAACCGTGCATATTATATAATATCCCATTATAGTTACATCATCCCATAAAATTATTCAATTAAGGAAAAGTAATTAGAAGTATTCTCTGCAGATGCAATAAAACTTCCATCATAGCGAAATTAATATCACTAATACTAAAATTATGATTTTTTTTGAAATTATAAATATAAATTCATAAATATTAAAAATTTTATTCTCATTAGGATGTTATATTGCGAAAAAACATTTTAAGAATGTTAGGAGTGATTACACTGCACTTATACCTCATAATTGGTATTATTAATAAGACCGATAATACATATGTACCCATTATTAGCATAAGACAAGAGTAAACCATGTTTGTTCTAATAAAAACTCTTAATGGTTTGCTAATATTGAGGATATTAGTATAAAAAATTTCAGTTTATGGATGTTTTGTAAATTGGTTTTTATTTATTTAATTAATTATAATATGAAATCTAAACTTTGACTGCTTTTAATCTAAACATTATCTTGTGTGAGAACTCATTATAAAACTAAGGCAGATAAAACGACGTTTGAATTGGTTTATATATTTTTGGAATTTAGGATGTAACTAAAATGGGGTGTTGTTATCTCCGGCCCAGTCTTCCGGAAGTGCTCATAGGGGTAGGGTGTGCGTGTGTGCGTTCATAAGGGTGAGTGTGCGCACGTTGTGAGCGCCTGTGTTTGTACTGTGTTTCTCAAAAAAAAATGTCGAAGATAGATTTTATTAACATAAAATTTGCTCCACTTAGAATTCCAGCACTGTCAAACTATTGTTTTACTCGTGTTATAGCCCGAGTATAATATATACTATGTCACATTGCATGGACATATATAACTGAAATGAAACGTTATTATCTCCTTAAATGTCCACAATAAATTTTATTAACCTAAAACTTGCTTCACTTAGAATTCCAACACTGCTAAATTATTGTTTTACTCTTGTCATAGCCTAAGGCTAACATGTACTCAGCCAAAATACATCGACATATATAACTGAAATGAAACGTTTTTATCTCCTCAAATTTCTAAGATAGATTTTATTAACCTGAAGCTTGCTCCACTTAGAATTCCAGCACTATGAAATTATTATTTTACTCTTGTTATAGCTTGAGGCTAACATGTATTCTGTCAAATTACATGGACGCGGACTCCACGAGAAATATCATATCTTGCCGTGGTCAACATCACACAAAGAATAAGCTTCAAATGTGTATGTCCGGTATCTCTATTCTCGCCCCTGTTCGTTTCTGTGAAGTAAATCTGGAGGTTAAATTCCCGTCAAAAAAATCTGGAGGTTAAAACACGACAAGAGGATATGACAAATGTTAATAATGCATCAAATAATCCAAATGGCATGTAGCCTAACCCCAAGAATGTTTTTAGAACACGATGCTTTACATATGTCTAGAACACGAATCATTAAAATAACGTCTATCCATGTCAACCATGAAACAAAACGAGGCAACAATCACATGATAGGATCCTTATAGCCACACGCCACCACTAATTTGCAAGATCGTGATGGAAACCGGTGTAAATATGCAGGGAGTGGAGAGTTCCTAACGGTTTGACGAAGTGAATCGAACTATACATGGTCAAGTTGAGGAAGCTCACCAGACAGAGAGGTAGGTGGTGGTGGAACCATGGAAGAATTTAGTGTTGGGCCTTGTTGGGACGCAAGTCCCTAGATCCATCCGCTAGATCCCAAGCACCTTACTTCACTAGCTCTGTGATAGTTTGGTATACATGTCATTTTGGAGAAATAAGATAACTAGATAGAAGTACTGCTTTGTTCGCTTGGATGCCTTTTAATCTAGTCTTATTTGCTATGATATGGCCCAATTGAAAATATTTTAGCTATTGTTATGGGCTGAGACCTCATGATTGGGGAATGGTGTGAAATTAACGAGTAAGACAATGTGGTTTTCATTGTTAATTACTTATCAACAAATTCATATGAATGATCTGATTTTTGTTTGATGGTCAGTGGTGCTTGAAATTAATAAAGATGAAGATTAAGTTGACACACGTAAAACAAGAAAGCTATTAGCACATGATTTATTAATTTTTAATTATTACAAATTTGACAAATAGATATATTTGATATTTTAAAGCAACTTCTATATAAAAAGTTTTCGTACGAAATGCACTGTTTAGTCGTTTGAAAAGCATGCTAATGAAAACCGGGGTAAAATCTAAATATTAATTAGAAAAGTGAGTTTATTTCAAACATAGCGATATATACTTGGTTCACTTATCTATACATTTAGTTCCCACCTTTGACACTTTATTTTCATTCTAGTTTTGTCACTGGGTGGAACTTGGCCTTGGCGGCTGACAGCTTCACCCAAAACCCACTCGCCTGACTAACGGGATGCCTGCCAAAGCCAATAAAATGATTAAGAAGAATGAATAAACCAAACCAGCCAATGGAGAGGAGGGTTCATGCGAGGCACTCGCTGGAAGGCCTGTTTGGAAAAACGTGAGACTTAAGGCTTGTTTGGAAGGCCTGTAATTGGCCCAATGCTAGTGTAAAACACAAGACCGTAAAATCTTTTCCGTGTAGGCTAAAAAGCCCGTTTGGACGGGCTGTAAATCATAAAACATTAGGACTAAGTTCACCAGTAGTCCCTCAACTTTACCCGAGTCTGTCTGAGGTCCCCTAACCACGATACCAGAAATATGTACCCCTAAACCATGTAAAACCATTCAAAAAAAAAAGGTCCCGAGGTAGTATAGAAGTCTGGTTTCGCTGACGTGGCATCTTACTCAGCAAAAAATATAAAATAAATATATGGGGGCCTATATGTATGTGAGAGAAATTGGTATGGGACCCACATCTCTCCTTTCTTTTTCTTTTTCTCTTCTCTTCTCTTGTTGATTCTCTCGAGCAGTCGAGCGGGCGCAGCGACGGAGGGGGGGAGAGGCAGCCGACGGTGGAGCGGGGGCAGCGGCGGATGGAGAGGGGGAGAGATGCGGCCGACACGATGGTGGCTACTGTCGGTGACTAGAACGGAGGGGGCTCCAACGTCGATGACCGCTGCTTCGAGGAGGAGGCGCGGGGAGTTTAGATGAAGGAGATGGGGAGGTTGGCGATCATGGCGGGGATGCCGGCAAGCATGAGTGGAGAGGGAGGCGACGAGGAGGTTAGCGAGCGCTCGGAGAGGGAGGAGGTGGGCGCCACGCCGCACCTCTCCCTCGCGCTGCGCCGCGTTGCGCGCCACTCCTCTCCTCTCTCTTGTCATAGCGCCGTGCGCCGCTCCTTTCCCCTACCGCTGCACCGCATGCCACTCCTCTCCTCTCCCCCGCCGCCGGCCGCGTGCCGCTCTTCTCTGCCGCCAAGCTCACCGTCGCGCCACCCGCCTCTCTCCCCCTCTCTCGCTGCCACCCCCGCTCCGTCGCCAGCAACCTCTCCCCCATCTGCCATCACGCCCGCTCGACTACTTGAGAGAATCAACGACAGAAGAGAAGAGAAAAAAAAAGAAAAGTGAAATGTGGGGCCCACACCATTTTCTCTCACTTACATGTGGGCCCCACATATCAATTTTATTATTTTCCTGACTAGGATGTCACGTCAACGAAACCAGGCATCTATACTGTCCCGGGACCTTTTTTTTTTACGATTTTACATAGTTTAGAAGTATACATTTCTGGTATTGCAGTTAGGGGACCTTATACAGACTTGACGTAAAGTTGAGGGATGGCCGGTGAACTTATTCCAAAACTTTACAGCCGTTTTAGCATGTAAATTAACCGCAGATGGGGCACAAATTTTTATCCGTCCGATATCGAACCTCGCAGCCTCGACTGCCGTCGAGCCCGCTACTCCGTGACGCTCCGTGCTCTGCCCCGCCGCCACCGCACACCACTCTCCGCTTCGTTTCGTTGTTGCCGCTGAGTCGCCACGTCTGCGCCGCCCCATCGCCGGCGCCGCCGCGATCCGTTCCGCAACCATCTCTACTACTCTGCGCCACTTATGCAAACCGGCCTCGATCCTCACCACCATCTGCTGCACCAGCGTCGGTTCACGCCGGGTCCGTTGTCTACCCACCTTCGCTATCCATAAGGGAAGGAAGAGCTGATACAAGCGGAGAGGGAATCTAGGGCGAGAACGATCTGCGCCGTCGCCTCATACTCACCGGTCCATACTCTGCCTCCGACCCTTTATCTCTCGTCCCAGCTTCTCCTTTCTCTGTACATTCAGCCCACATCATTGGCTCATTGCTTCAACACCCTGCGAGAGATTCGGCTTGCCTAGGCTCCGTATCGATATGGCTTTGTGATTCAGATTTGGGTCTATTCATCTTTTTCCCCTTCGCCATGTTCGTTCTGTTTCAGAGTTCGTTTTTGTTGCAATGACTAGCCAGATAGATGTCTTACCCTTACCAAATACCCAAACGGCCTGAAAATTTTTGACTGTATGAATCCTCGGTGTTCCCAAGAATAAAAGTGAAAATATTTTACAGGTGAAAAAAAAACTGTATTCCCAAGAAAATCTTCCTTCAAGAACTGTTGGTAAAAGGAAATGTGCGAATGAAAATTCATTTGCAGCTGGAAAATTTCTGTTGTCTCAGCAATAGTTTCAAGAAAAATCTAGGTCGCTGCTCGGTGAACCCGTCGATTTGTTCAGCTTAAGGAAAGAAAACGATAAGTGACAGAACATGGCTTCAAATTTCAAGTCTTGCAATATCTGACAGTTCTACTTCTAACTTGTGCAGATAAAAAAAGTACTCCTGTATCGAAGCAGCCAACAGTCATCCGAGCAGCAGATGCCGTTCTTATTTTCTTGGGCTTAGGTGAGGCGCAGTTGTTCTGCAAAGAGGAATTAATGGTTTAATTAACACCAGCTCAAAATTCCAAGTGGATCGGCCTGACTTGGTTTAAGCTGAATTTGAGCCCATGAGGTAATCAAAGTTTGGGCCAAACATGAACTTTTTGGCCCAAAAACTTGTCGCCGTTTGGGCTATTACCTTTTTTAGAGTATGTGGGCTAATACTCCTTACCATATTCCGTTGCAGTCGATTCCATTCCATACATCAACACAAGTCGAAAACCCTTCAGGAGCATCGGTTGGATACGCGCCGCACGCAGCCCTACAGCCTGCTGTCGCCTCCCGGAGCACTCCTCCTGGTCCCTGGTAAATTAACTAGGTTTAATTCCTCCATGCCTCTGATCTCGTATTTCTTATTAATCGATTTATCATTATCATTAGCTCTAACTAATTCGGATTTCGTTGCATCCTCGTGATATATTCATGCTGTTTTTCGTTTTGCGTTCGTTTGAGCAAGATAGATTATAGATGGATAAACGTCTCCTACTCTCTCATGATCAGGCTATCTGGAGGCAGGATTAGGAGCACAGGCCATGGATGAGAAAGACGGCAACAATGGCCGATGCAATTTCAGTACGGAAGATCCTGGGGAGGACAAAGCCTTCGCTGCCTCGCTTGTAGATCAAGATCAGGATCCGGATCCTACTGATGCTGCCCTACTGGATAATGAGTGTTCCAGAGTTGTAGATCAAGATCCTCCTCCTGATGCTGCTGCCCTCCTGTATGATGAGTGTTCTGCAGCGTATGGTGCTCATGTAGCCAAGAAGAACAAATCCGAGGCAAGTCATCTTGCTGGCCGACCAAAATAAAACACTACTTTTGAATGCTACTACTACTGTTTCAGGATGTGTCCTGTATACAAAATAGTGGTCTGATTCCATTTAGTGACGCTTAATTCTTGTACATGAACTTGGTACTTGCAGTGCATGCGGGTGTCGGACTTGCTATGAAAATAGATTTGCCGTTGGAACTTCAAAGTTATAATCTAGTATACCATCATGCAAGCTCCATTAGCTTATGAATGATTTCAAATAAGACCTTGACCACATAAGATGTTCTCTTGTCACTTCTGCTTGAACACTTAGCATGTCATCTTCTTTGTGACGACTCGTACTGTTATGCGACTCTCCTTACCTTCTGTACTACATATATATTAGAGAGCATTCTCACATTTATATTTTTTTTCCATGTTAGGTCAAAGGAGCAAACGTGGAAAACTGGGCATGTGTAAATTTTTCTTTAATGGGTACTACAGAAACACAGAAATTTGCATCTGAGCTCAAAAAAGCGTGTGTGGCCATTGGGATGGTAAATCCGTCCACTCTTTCCTGGGCACCATTACTTTGGCAACATGTGACACATCTGACATTGACTTTACATAATAGGATTTGAAGTCTGTTCATGCAGTGTTCGTAGACTTGAACTCTCCCAATAAACTAGAAAGTACTTTGCATGATGTGCAAGAACTGTTTGGCGGACAAGGAGTGGAAGTAAACCAGATAAACCTTCTAATTGTAATTCTTCCAGAATTCAGACGTTCTGATGGTATGGAAGTTATGATTTGCATCAACCGCACCTTTATATTCTTTTTTTTTTGTTGACAGTTGCATGCGATGTTTTGCAGCGAAAGTCAAAGATATCTGTAAGAACCTTGGATTCTTATATCAATGTTGTTTGCCTGAGCATGCTAGGACACCCAGCAAGCTATACCTGAACAATGTTGCTCACAATATTCGTTCCAAGGTTTCTCTCTCATTCTGTTTGATGTGTTATTGTTCTTTTTTCCTTTTGCACAACTCTCATGCTAGAGTTTCTTAATCATGTTGCTGAGGGCAAAACACTTTTTTGTTCTTGTGAGGAGAAGAGGGTAAATGGCGACTCTGAGAAAGTCTATGGTTCTGATGAGATGAGAGAAGATAGTGAGTCAGATCTAAGTGATTTGGAAGATATGGGAGATGCTGACTCAGACATCATTTACTTGGAAGCATTCCCTACATCAGATGAAGAGATGGATGATGATGATGATTATGGTGATGATGATGAATATGTACCAGTATCTCCTGATGAAGAGATGGATGATGATGGTTCCGTGCAGCAGATGAGAGAGAATGATGAATTATGTAAACAGCTCCAGCGGCTGGAAGAGAATGGACATGAACAGGCCGCCAATAGCGCAGAAGGCTGCCTCAAAACCTACAAGGAAATAGAGACTCATACAGCGTTAGCAGGAAGTACTTATTCTGAGTTAAGTGAACCGCCTTCATTTGAAGCCTTCCTGTGCCCTGGTAAAACTCAGTTTCTGGTCTAGTCCAAAGTTAATCAATCTACCCTAGGCCAGCAGCTTGTTCTTAACTCTTTTGTATCTCCCAGTCTAGTCCATTCACCTTTCTTAATAATTTCGTGTGGCATTCGTTGTGCCCTTTTTATTTTGCGTTGATTGTCCTTTCTTGTTTATGCTTTCTTGCTTCTTCCTCTGTCTCCAGGGGAACGCGAGCACATTCTCAAGACAGGATGGGAAACACAACATCCATACAAGAAGCCTAGCGGCGTGTCTTGGGATGAGTACTCTAAGGTGTTTGACACCAATGGCTACTACAAACTCAGCAACATGCCTGTGGAGGATAAGGACTTGGTTGCTGCAGAATGTAACACTCCTGAAGTGAGGCGATGGGAAAATCACATCAGTCATGACTATGATGAGCTGCAGGTATTGCTAGTTATTTAGTACTTCCTTCACTCATAAGGTTGTTTTAGAAATTAACACTGTCAAAAGATTTCTGTTCTTGTAGATCTATTAGACCTAATGGACCTTTCGATAACAATTTTTACTATAGAGATATGTGCATACCATTTTCATGCTATCAATCTGAATATTGAAAAGGACATTGACAACTGAAGTTTGGAAAATCTTTTTTGATCACCACCTCAGCCTAGCAACTGTTGTAAATTTGCTACTTTACTTGATTGATGCCATGATATTGTGGTTGAATCAGTGTGTTCTTCTGTTTCGGAATTGTATATATTTGGTTTGTCGATTCACCTTCTTTCTTCAATGTTCAAATAATGCCGCGAGGACAAATATTTTGCTGATGATGTTCTAAGTATCATCAAACAAAATGTCATGCATACTCAAATCAAATTATGCATCATATAGTCCTCGGATGAGATGTGCACTATACCAGCTTGTGTGTTACAACTCTTGTATGATAGTTAATGTTGCGTGCTTGATGCGAGTTTGCAAGTCTTCCAACACAAAACAATATGAGAACCACATAATCGGAAAGTTGTGTTCAAAACCAGGGATCTGATAGTCTGAATATAATATTTACCTTGAACAGTTGACAAACATGATTGGGGCAACCTAAGAACATACTTGGCTGATGGATTCTTGGTATAGTTTTAACGTTTGGGGTTTTTGGTATTTTCACTGCTATGCAACTCTCTTTATCTCTCGTCATGATTCATAATATCTTTATAGAATCATTCTCAAACAGGCATTTGTTCCCTTTTAGGTCGAACGTGGAATTGTGAGACGTTGGGCATGTGTAAATTTTTCACCTAAGCGTAAACATGCAGCGCGGGTTGTCAGTGACATTATAGGAAAGTGTATAGACATGGGAATGGTAAAGCCCTGCATACTTTCCTTGAACAAGGCATTCTACTAATCATGTACCACACATCTGACTTAATATCTTTGTATGATAGGAATTTGGTACATTACCAAAAATGGATGTCGATGTACCCCTTACTTCCCTTCATATACGACGTACTTTGCTGGATGTGCCCAAAAAGATAGACATTCTAATTGTGATTATGGCAGATGATAGAAGTTATGATGGTATGGAAGTTAGTTGTGTCAGGTTCACTGTTGATTTTCTTTTTTGACAGTTGCATATGATATATTGCAGGGGAAATTGAAGAGATGTGTGAGAGCCTTAGAATTGTTTATGTTTTCTGTTTACCCTGCCTAAGCAAACGGAATCTGAAGAGAGTTGCACGCCAAATACAATTGAAGGTCATTTCTCTTTGGTCTCATTTTGTTTGTTATAGTGTTATCATGTTTTTGGTTTATTAATCAGGTTGTAAAGAGTTATGTACGTCGTCAGCGACTGCACTTACCCCTTGTGTCAGAAGTCCCAACGATTTTTTGGTGCTCACACGATACACTATGATCTTGGAGAGGATTCAGAGGCAGGAGTGGATTCAGAGGGCATTGCATCTGTATGTCTCTTCTGTAACTACCATCTCCTGGATTTGCGTTTTGTTGTTACACAATCCAATTGGCATCATATTTTTTGTTGGAGTCATGTAGGTGGCGGCTTCATTGGACTGGCCAAAATTCAGAAAGTATCATACATTAATTTCACATCAACCTCATAATGGCATCATAAATCTCCATTCTAGACGTGGTGGCATGATGACGTAATTCTGTGTTCTACATAATCTGTAGCTCACCGTCACTTTGATCCATTTGGTGTACTAACATTTTTCATTTTTTTTCCAGCAAGTTCTTTCGGTCCTTCTACAAAATGATAAAAGAAAGACCCAAGAGGATAATCTTCTACAGGTAGTAATACTTGTATTCCTTGATTAGTGTGATACTATTAGATATATGCTAACAGTGCAACATCTTGCACAGAGGTGGATTAATGGAAGGTGAGATGGAGCGCATTTGCCTGCAAGAAATAGATGCTATTAAACAGGTAGGAATACAATATGATTTGCCTTCCTGTATCTTGGTTTGACTTGCTCATTTTGATGGTTTTGTGCTTCTTCCCTTGAAAGGCTTGTGCCTATTCCTACAAAGAAGATCAACCATCACTGACATATGTGGTCGTGGTGCCTACTGCATCAATTGGTTAGTGTGTTTGCTGATTCTGCTTGTAGTATTTCCTTTTTACCGAGTGAGGTGAATACACATACATGCTACTTGGCTTTGGTGACTGGGTATTGTTTCATAGGAACTGAGGCTGACACCGCTAAGTATAAGTTCTTTTGCCGCCATACTACTCATAAGGTACATTTTAGTTTGGTGAATCTGCAAATATACTCATAAGGAGTTGTCTATCCTTGAAAAAAATATATTGAGCTAGTATTGGTTGACTGTAGTCAACCTCCCGCGTGGTCCGCTACCACGTTGTCCATGACGACAACAACTTTCTAGCTGGTGAACTTCAGTCTCTAACCTTGAAGCTTTTCACCTTGTAAGTTTCACAGCTCTACTTTTGGATTGCTTTGCTGTGATCAACTATCAGTAGGCACTTCTGACCATATTTGCAAATGCATGTTCATACCCAGCCGTCATCGTCGGGAATACCCAAAGATAGATGCAGGTGAGTCCTTTTATACTACCTATCAATCAATTATTCTTCTTTCTTGTGTCTGTGTTTTCTTTAAAAAAAAAGGTGTGGGGGTTCCGTGTTGTCGAAAGGGTAGGGGGTATTCTGGATTTTGGAAAGGAAAGAAATGCTGCTCCAATTGGTTGATGAGCACAAGGGGCAGGGCATGTCCTTTTTTGTGATTTATTTTTTACGAGTAACCGAACAATGAGGGCATGTCCTTTTTTGTGATTTGTGTGGGAGCATACATTTTGCGCTAGTAAACACTACTATCCAAAGTATAATATTTTTTTTGTTGTTTGACCAAGTTTATAGAAGAAACGATAATATTTGTGATATCAAATGAGCATCATTTGTAGTTTACTTATTTGACATGGTCGATGTATTCTTTCTACAAATTTGATCAAACTTAGGATACCCCTCCTTTTCCAATTGATCATCGTACAATTGTTTTAGGTTATTCTGAAATGATCATCATACTAGTATTCATTTTTTAAGTCTATTCATTATTTGTGCATGGAAGTAATGGACATGTGATGTCTTGTTTGTTATTGGGTAGAACATAGTGAGGATGGCTCATATGAGTTTGTTACCTCAGTAAACGTAGTTTTTCTTGGTCTTGTTGCACTCATGTAATATAATGATAATTGGGAATGGAGGGAGTACTTCCTAGAAATGCTTATATTGTATGTTCTGCTTATGCCTTGCACATCGGATCACTTATGTTTTATTACTCACTGCTTATTCCATTCTATCTAGTTGTACCGGCCTACTACGCAGAGCGTGCTGCATTCAAAGCTTATCGCGCAGAGTGTGCTGCATCCAAAGCTTCTTAAGAAGAGCAAAGCGAGATGAGAATGTTGCTACTCTAGCAAAAATTAATCAGATGTTTATCTAACTTATTAAGATGTCTGGTGTATTTTGAACTCAAAAACGAGTGTGCATATGGTAACCTGTTACCGCTGTTGATCAGACGTGTTATGGCGCTTGTTTTTGTTAATAGTTCAATGCTGCGGGTTTTGAAATTGCATGTAGTATTGGTCTTTTTTAAGACAGAACAATCCTTGTACATTTTCAAATTTAATATTTATATATATCATGATTTGAATGGAAGTACTATCTCCATTCCAAAATATAGCAATATTTTTTCTATGTATTTGGATATAACATTGTCCTAATAGCTTGAAGTAGTTATATTTTTTTGTGCTGAACATGGACGCGTTGCACGTGCTCCGGTTGTCCGGCACAAATCCATCGTCTCCGCCTGTGGTGTTCGATAGGCAGCGCTTTCAGTTTGGTTAATATGGCTGCTCAGGTTGGATTTGCAAGGAAGGAGCGATTGGGTAAGATGAAACCTGGAAACGATTTGTGCCGATTTGAGAATTTGGGGTCTTTTCGCCATTTGCGCAACCAATCTACACTAAAAAAAAGAATATAAATCCACCAGAAAGTGATGAATTGAAGCCAAAATGATAAAAGTGATGAATAGAGGACAAAATTAAAGATATAGAATGAATTCTACCGGGAAACCACTACCAGAAGACCGAACGATACATAACACACCTAATTTCACTGTTCTACGTCTATTTTTCGAAGTGTTTGCAAGTATGAGCGGCAACGGGAATCATCGGAACCTACAAATGTACAGGTTATGTACATTAACCAAACATGCACACAGAGATTAGTGCACAGCTCGTAGAGAAAGGGGATCAGATGTAATCTGACAGAACTGATGCTGAGACCCGCTTCAAGGATGAGGACACTTTGGAGATGTCTGAATCGGTGTGGCCGGCTGACATGAAGAGGCGTATTCCGACGGGAAGTTTGCACCTATCCAAAGGTGACCGCTTTGACGCCACGATAAAAACTGAATCTTCCTTCAATACCTGTTGGAAATAGGATGCTGTAAATATATGCAAGTGAAAGTTCATTTGCAGCTGGAAAGGTTCTGTTGTGTCGACATGGACTTACCCTCTCAGCAATAGTTTCAAGAAGATCTATATCGGTGTTTGATGAACCCGTCGATTTCTTCAGTTTGAGGAAAACGATAGGTGACAGAACATGGCTGGAAATTTCAAGTCCTGGAGTACCTGACAGTTCTGCAGATAAAAAACATCGAAGGCATCAAGGTGATCAGCAGGCACCAGTAACGACATATTATGCCTGAACAAATTCAACTATTGAATCCCATAATGTGTTTCACAATTTCAATGCAGCTGTTTTGAAACTACCACTAATGGGAAAAATACATGATAAAAGTGATGCCACAACATTACATGCTAGGTATTAAAGCATTAAAAACTTTACATCTACATTAATCACATTAAAAAGTAAGTAAATGTTGGTCAAATAAGTATATAAATAACAAGATAATCTTCTTAACCTTTATGCAGGAAAGAAATGTTGCTCCTCAGGTCTGCAAGAACTGACGGGTTCCCCTCCAGGTAGCTGACAGCAGAAACCGCAGCGCTGGCAAGATAAGGTGGCAGAGAAGCCGAGAAAACATAGCCAGAACTGCTTAGACGCTGCAAAAGCACAATAACTTAATAGGTCAAGATATTTAACAACATTCTATTGCAATTGATTTTCCGTCAATCTAGAGTTGCATTACCTGATGATCAACAACTCTAACACTTCCTGTACAAAAGCCACCATCAGTAGCTAATGCATTCCCCATTCCAGCAGTGATAATATCAATTTTGTCAATCTGCACATGCAAGAAAATGTAAGAAATAAGATGTGCCAATATATCCAATTAAAATGGTCAGTAACACAATTTTCATAAATTAACAGGTGTCTACCAGGACTCCATGGATTATACCTATTCTTTTTAATCTTCTACTTTGGTGCGATGAGAGAACAAAAATGTCAGGGGTACTCACTGGAACTCCATAATGTTCAGCAAGGCCTCGTCCAGACTGGCCAAGCACACCAAAAGAATGGCTTTCCTCCAGAATAACACGGAATCGATATTTCTCCTTCAATCTGACAATCTCATCCAAGGGAGCAATTTGACCAGAATTCTGCAATCGTCACAGTAAGAGAGGATATATCCAAAGTCATATGTTTAAACGATTTCATGATTTTCTAGGTCGTAAAAATTCATGAGAAAAATGAGAAAAAACCATACTCATGTCCAATCAGAGTTATCATAAAAGGCACCACACCTGGTAGATAGATTCTACAACAATGTATCGTCTGATCTTTTCTGCTCGTTTATTTCCACGTGTAAGTTTTTCCAAAGTGTTTGCAAGTGAAGCCATATCATTGTGTTTAAAATAAACAACAGTGCTTCTTGACAGATGAAGACCATTTTGCACTGCCCAGTGCACACCTTCATCACTGCAATGCATATAGAAAACTTGCTTAGGTTCAAACATGAAAAATCAAGAAAAGAAAAGTGCTACCTAGTAAAAGAACTATCCAGGTATGGAGCTAATTGCATGAGGAAGAATAACAACTAAAGAATAGATACATGTAAGAGGTGACAACTTTGAAGATCACAAGGCAGACATATACACTACTTTCTAAAGGGTTTGTGCAGGATTTTCATTCTTTTTTTTTGGTTGGGGGGGGAGGGGGGGGGCAAGGAAGCAGTTTTCATTTGATTTCTTTCTTACAAAAGGCAGGTATATAAAAAATGTGAATAACTAAAACATTTATATAAGCTGTTGTACTGAAAAAAAAAGAGAGGACAAACTCTATATGTGCCGGTATTGTTCATATTACTATGTGGGCAAAAGGTTAACTTACGCAACTATGATGTCTCCTTTCTTACAAAAGGCAGGTATCACACTAAATATTGTAGAAATCCCATATGAATACAGAATTGAGTCTGGAGTTCCAAGAAACTTCGCTATTTTTGCCTCACAGTCAAGGTGGACATCTGCAAGTGTTCCACAATGAAAAGATAAGTTTCTCTTCCATATTTGCAACACAGATCAGTGGTGGCAAAAAGAGAGTATACAAACCAATTGTTCCATAAAAGCCACGTGGACCACAAGAACCAACACCATATTTCTCCAGTGAACCAACACAAGAATCCTGCAATTCACCCATGTCAAATATCCTGGAAGAAGTGTCAAAATAACTCCTAAATAATAGAGTTTTGGCTTACAATAATCTTCTCATTGCCAATCAAACCAAGATAATTTGCTGATGCAAAGTTTATAACTTCTTTCCCATCAATGGTTGTATGTGGAGCAGCAGCACTGTAGCAAGAAACGTAATAGTGTTAAGACCCCCAAAACTCAGGAGAAAAAACATGCAATGCCCAAGAATTGCAGGTATTCTGCAAACATAAACATTCTCAATTCCAGCATTACACATCCATAAACAAGGACTCATCAAACAGATGATATATCATGCATTGCAATATCTGAGGGAAGGGCAACAAAATGAATATTCTACGAGTGAGAGTTATTTGAGATTGGCCACGCTATGTTAGGGATGCTGGAAGTTACTCCTAAATTTGTATTATTCAGAAAGCTGCTGTCCATTATTAGTGCAACGCAAGCACATAAATGGAGTATTGTTGATAACTGGATAAAGATACAAGATTATAACAGATGGAGGACAACTTTTATAACAAAATACTAGCAAGATGCATTTGGCAGCATGTATTAAGTCATTTGATGTTCTTATTAACGTCGTAAAAAGAAGAGGAAAAATGTTTGAGAAGATACTGCAAGTTACAGAAAGCAGATGGCGATTGCGAATCAACTATAATAACTTCAAGAAAAGTTAGTCTGCCTAAAGAATAGAAGATTGTAAGCATTTGGAAAGCAAGGGATACATGATACTTCAAGTGATTCATGATGCCCTGTATTCGTCTAAAATTTGACCAGATTTGTGGCATGCAAATCATCTTTTTGCATGCAGTATTTGTCAAGAATAAAGGTTCAAGTCAATATTGCCTTCCCACATGCTGCACTGCCTAGTTAAGTTAACCAATGCTTGAGCTTACAACTGCCCCAATCCTGTCATGCTTTCTCTCATAGTTTATCTAGTAACTCACTACTTATGAAATAATATAGAGGAATACTGAAAACGAATTATTTCCTGCAAGGAGCTTTAAGAAACTACCTTCAGAACAGACACTATCAAACATAAAAACTTCCTTAAAGTAAGAAAAAAGAACTCCCATATGGTGCATCAACTACCGTTTAAACTTTAATTAGAATGTAACCATCATACAAACCTTTCCAACATTGGTGTGTCAATTCGGGCCCCATCCTTGATCGGAGGACACAGAGGTTCTGGCTCCCATTCATCACATAGCTCGTCAATCTCCTGCAAAGATCAAAATGCTAACTTTCACCAACAAGTTCTGGAAAGCAATGACCAAAACCAATACTCTAACACAAAGTAACAGCGAGGAACAGGCAGAAGATAACTTTACCTTTTCACTGAGTGGCTTCTTGGGCGGTTTGTAGCTCTTCCTAGAAAGCTGAAACACTATGACCGCTATAAGGAGCCCTTCAACAACCAGGTGCCCTGAAAAATGGAATGTTACCGAATGTCGATCGCCCTTATCACATCACAAGTTCCTCATTGATGTGGACGTAAGAGGCTTACCATCGATATGAACCCCAAAGACAACTGCGCGGGCAAAAGGGGCATTGAATGCAGCTGAGACACGAGCAAGCACCGCTGCGGTGGCATTCACTATTGGCAATGCCATGTCCATGTCCTAATGCAGCTTTTCGTAACACGGAATGGAAACTTTAGCGCCTCAAATCTGCCAAAAAAGGCAATGGGCTGCTCATCAATCAACCAGATCGGCTGCAGAGCAGAATCAATGTTGAAATTCATATAAGAGTAAATTTTACTTTGGGCCACCTTTTACTACTGGTGTTTTGCTTTGGACCACCCTTTAACTAATATTTTCACTTTGAACCGGAAAATCTTACCTTTGTGTCACTTTGGAGCACACTCAAATCTTTTATCTATCTACATCAAACTTGTCATCTGTCAAATAAATTGCCAGGTATAAAGCGGTGGGAATTCACTGATGAATCGGAGCCGGCGTACTCGAAATCGTTCATATGCTTGAGAAGAGAGTTAGGGTAGTCCAAAATGCAACAAAGGTAAGATTATCTGATCCAAAGTGAATACGTTGATTAAAGGGTGGTCGAAAGCAAAACACCGGTAATAAAAAGTGGTCCAAAATGAAATTTATACTCCTTAAGGTCAAGGATTGAACTATAGACACGGAATGTAATCCTCAGGTCCAGGGGCGAACGATACGTGCGCCACGGCGGTTGATACTACTACTCTACTAGTAAAACTAAGGCTACTAAGAAGACAAGGTGAAAACCTAGCTTCCAGATCTAGAAGAGAAGATAAGGTTACTGCAAAATTCGAGAGAAGGCGTGGGTAGAACGGGATGGATGGGGAAAGAGAGAGGATGTGAGGTCGGCACGGGTGCTCACCGGAGCCGGAAGGGAAGCGGGGAGCAGGACGACAGCACCCGGTCACCGCTGCTCGTGGAACGGATGGAGATCGGCGCGGCGCGGCGGGCGAACCAGCGAGGAGGAGACGTTGGGGATCGACTTGGGCGCAAAACGAGTCAAAGAGGGGAGAAGAGTATGCGGCGGCCTTGCGACGGCCAGCGCAAGCCGGATGTGACAAGTCAAGAGAGAAGAGACCCAATCCGTTATGCTTGCACGTTGCTTTGTTGTTTGGCTTTCCAAATCACGTTTTCGATCTGCTAAAGGGCCGTTTGGCACGACCTTAGACTCTAGCTTCATCTCTACTCAAGTTAAAACCAAACCAAACGATTAAACGATTTTAGTTCCACCTTAAAAAATGAAACTGGCTAAAATGCTCTCACAATATAAATTAGAGATGTGAAACTATGTTTATGTTTAGTCTATTTCAGACCTAATTTTTAAAGTTAAATTTAAAAGTTGGTGTTCTATTAAACGGGTAAGTCTATGGCTTTCCAAATCATATTTTTATCTATTAAGTCTGGGAGTGACCGAAATAAACCGAAGTAGCACAATTTATATATGTTATTTGGTGGTCACTTATGAAAGACGATATATAGCCTAAAATAGCGCAATTAATAAATCATTTGTCAATTTAATTTAATCCGAGACGCTTTTTAAGTGAATATATAAGAAGACTGCGAAGAACCTATGTTACTTATTTGGTTTTCAGTGATGTATGTAGATATTATAAAATGATATAAATAGTTCTACAAATATCTGTCACGACAATTGGACCAGGTGGTGCATGAGTTTTTTTTTATCCAGAGCATAGGTGGCGGTCTAATCTAGCCACTAAGATATATATTTCTATCAAACTTTTATACTTGGGAGATATTTCTAGTCGTTTCTTTCATATATTTTTTTGGCCTTGTGCATTATATGCAGAGGTCGGGGATCACTCAGTTAGATTTTATTCTCTTGATGTAATGTTATTAACTAAGTTTAAATAAAGCTTACATTATTTAAAAATATATATGTTTTTATAAAAATTAAAGTGTGATAATTATTATCAATCTGATGGTTATAACACATTATAAATATTGTTTAAGTACTTTTTACCGTCTACATTTATATGTTTGTTTAGACGATTTAAAATTGCCGATGAGTTATAATAAGTCAACTTGTAATTTATATATAACTAGCAAATTGTTTGTGCGTTACTACGGTTTATAAAAGAACAATGATACGATTGAAGACCTTTTGCTAACCTTGTGCACAGTGTAGGAAGAACATTAGGAATTTTCAGAGTTGCAACAAGTGCCAAACCCTAAGTTGACACCCTTGCTTGTGGAATTCAAGTTGCATCACCGGAAGCTTGGGTTTAAAAGAAACTGACATGGATGGGTTTGGAACATTCAAAGAGTCACGAACCGGTTTCATAATTGCAAACCTAGGTTAATGGGCAATAAACCGATTGAAATCAGAGAGGAATATTTTCTCAATAATAGAAAGCCAGCTAAACTGAATTGTGTTCATTGTGTTGAACTGATCCAGCAATGGGACCGACGGCGGTTCACCGGCATCGACGATGGAGGAGGCCATGACAGGGGCAGGGGCGGAGGTAGGCCTAGGGTAGTTATGGCTTGACTCCAAAATCATGTTGAAATTTCTTAAACTAGCTGGGTGGCCCACGCAATTGCGTAGCTAGCACATAACAATCATATATTTTTTAAGTATGATTTTACTTAAAATTTATTAAATAGATGTCTCATTGTTAAGACTTTAAAAGACCAAATCTTATCATCCTCATGTTTTTAATTATATAGTTTTTAAAAATTACACCAATTGCTACCCCTTATGTCATCTCCTTCTTTATTTGCTTGCTCGATCTATCACTATTTCTATTCATTCTTCTTGGAACCTTTAAAAATTGGATTTTTACAGTTTTTCGAGTTTATTGTCACGTTGGGTTTCGTTTTTATAATTTCTAGATGTCTCGTCAAATGTTGCCATTATACTCCTCTATGTCTCGTCCACTATCTCTTCTCTTTATTGTCATTGAGATTTTAAAAATCGAACGTAATTATAGTTTAGGTTCATTTTTAATTTCTAGAAGTCCCGCCAAACCGTCAGCGGTTTTGCCATTGTACTCCTCTACGGCTCGCCCGCTGTCTTCCTTCTTTATTGTCATTGAGATTTTAAAATCGAACATGATTATTATTGTTTTTTTTTACTTTTTAGAAGTTCTAACATTGGACTTGTAGTTTCATTTTTTATTATTTTTAGAAGTCCCATCAAACGATGTCACTATATCCCTCTGCAGCCCATCCGCCGCCCACTCTTTATTGTCATTGTGATTCTAAAATTCGAACATAACTATCGTTGCAATTCATTTTTTATTTTCTAGAAGTCCCGTCAACCGTTGGAGGCTCTGCAACTATACTCTTATACACCCCGCCCGCTGCTTCTCCTTTTTATTATTGTCATTGAGATTTTAAAAATCGAAAATGATTATCAATATGTTTTTTCTTTTTTACTTTCTAGAAGTCCCGGCAACCGCTTTACTTGTTTGCTTCACGGCCTGCCTGACGTCCCTCCTTTTAATCGTCATTAGGATTCTATTTGGTGTTTTATTAACAATTTTTATAAGTCGTATCAACCACCACCAACTCTACTCTTTTATAGGCCTGTTACTTAATTTATCTCGTCATGTGTTTTAGATGGTCTTTTTTTTTCAATAGTCTTTATTTTTGTCACAAAATTTAGTTATTTATAAATTTTATTCCTAATTGAAATCTTTTTTTTCTATTTCAGAATTTATTTTTTCAAAAAGATAGTTAATATTGTATTGTGTTCTTTTAATGTTTTTATTTTTTATTTTCAATTTCATTTGTTTCAAAATTGTATTTCTACTTGAGCTCTCTTTTAGTTTTTTCTAATTTTGGATATTATTATATTTTTTTATTCGAAATTTTAATTAATCTCGTATTGGGTTCTTATATGGATTCTTCTTTTAACATTGCTTATTTTAATTCCGAATTTCAGCTAATTTTAAATTGTATTCCTACTTGAACTCTTCTTTATTTTCTTTTGCTAATTTAGGATTTATTTTTATTTTTATTCCGAATTTTAATTAATCTCGTATTGGGTTCTTATATGGACTATTCTTTTAATATTCCTTATTTTTAATTCCGAAATTCAGGTATTTTTAAATTATATTCCTACTTGGACTCTCGTTTCCTTTTCTAATTTTGGCTTTTATTTTATTTTTATTTCGAATTTTGATTAATCTCGTATTGGGTTCTTATATGGAAACTTATTTCAATATTGCTAATTTTTAATTTCGAATTTTAGCTATTTTTAAATTGTATTTCTACTTGGACTCTCCATTCCTTTTCTAATTTTGGATTTTATTTTATTTTTATTTTAAATTTTGATTAATCTCGTATTGGGTTCTTATATGGAAACTTCTTTTAATATTGCTTATTTTTAATTCCGAATTTCAGCTATTTTTAGATTGTACTTCTACTTGGACTCTCCTTTTCTTTTTTTTTTCTTTTTCTTCGATTAATGTGGGAATTTCTAGCCCCTACAGCGAACGTGGTGTCTCCTTTCAAGGCTATTTTAATAATATAATATAATAGATAGATAGATAGATAGATTACCATATAAATTTTACAGAATATGAACAACTTATTAGTTAAGCCTTAGGGTTATCCCTATTCTTCGATAATTTCTGACTTCGCCACTAGGCCAAGGAGGGTTGAGAGGTACTGCTTCTGGGACTGATGAGGAGTGCCGAGACAATGGAGAAGTACATAAGCACCTCGTGGATGAAAACACCAAGCAGATTGAGTGATTGATGTAGCAATTATGCAAAAGAAGAGAAAAATCTAGACAGTTCATGTACGTACAGATAGGGTTCATGAGAATTTTTTATTAAGAAAACTGCAGATCGACTCATGTACATATGAAAAACCCGATCAGACTTCATACAACATATCAAAGGTTCAAGCTGGGAGGAAGAACTGTTGTACATGCTATGCATTGCACGTAGAATAGTTCTTCGCGCAGAGTACTATACAACTATGCACAGCTCATGATCATGAAAGTGACAGCTTGCAGTTAGGTTCGATCAAGCTATTGTAATGTCCACTTGCAGATTAAAGAAGAACTTGATGTTATTGAAAAGCAAACTATTATATACTAAAAGTTCATTAAACTTCCTAGAAATACTTTCAAAGCGCCACGTGATATTCTACAAATGCTTCTACGCCACCACGTGGCGCTCTAATAAATAGAGAAAATCATATAAATTCTAAGAAAAAAGCAAAACATCCAACCATCAATTTTTATTTAAATTGATGGACCCGTTATTATCAACCATTAGATTAGATCTATCGAGTAATTAACCCCTCCCTCCTAATATCTCTCTCTGAGTATGCACGCACATAAAAAACAATCATACGGCATGTACGTACGTATAAGCCCACCTATAACAGATTTTTACCTTTCTTTTTCTCAAGTACTTTTATTCACTATATAAAACACAATCGTGGATTAGTTTCCTTTTGAAGCACGGCATACTCATATGTTACCTCACCTCACGCATATATATTTTAACTCACCTCTTTAAACGTATTCCTATAAGAGAAAAAAATAATACATAAACCCTGTGCCCAAAATAACCTAATCCTAAGATTTATCCTTAAGATTGGATTTTATTTTACTAAGGGAGTATTCACGAGAAAAAAAAACATAAGTACGATAAAAATCCTACCAATCCTTCACTCCTAATTCTCAAATTAATAATTAAAATATTTTTATGTTTGTATGTAATACATACAGTTAGACCAGCCCCTCCTCCGTAGCTCCTTTCGCTCATGTTTATATGATAGTTAAACAGGATTTATGAATTAAAAAAAATACTACATCCCATTTAACTATATTTGAATAAAATACTATCACATGGAACAATATTATAATCCTTTTATTATGTCTTTCGCATCCAAATAATCTTTTTAACTGGCAGCGGTACTATATTCAGTTACTGACTTTGATCGCTAATCTTTTTAAAGAAATATATAAATATGTGAACTACATTTTTATTAAAAAAGTTCACATGGAACATATTCTATCCCTTTTCATGTCATTCTCATTTAAATAGTCTTAACAATTAGCATAAATAAATTTAACAACACAGATTATTCTATCATATATTATCCCATGAACATGTATAGGTGAGGAAGATCTATAATAATACAAGGAAAATAATATCAAGGCCCATGTAAAATCATATATTTGCAAAGAATTATTACTTGCGCAAATATTTTTCCACGTGGTTCTCACCACTAAAGCTATTAGATTTTCTGAATTAGTGTCGAATGATCAACTCTGCTAAGTTTTAAAAGAGAAAATTATATTTGTACCACTAAAATTTAGTAGTACTGATTAATACCATAAAAACACCGTGCCTACTCTATACCACAAATCGATTCAAAACTTAAAAGAACTATTTTCATTACCTCTATTTTCTCTATGTTATTCCCTAAAGGGCACAAAGTATGGAGGACAGGGCATGCTACGATATTGTAAATACTATGACAATATTGCTAAGGTGATGGTCCAGTGAGAGGTCACTGTTGTTAATAGAGCTCAGTTGGCTTAGTTACTGATGCAATCATTTATTATTGTAATGACAATGAATGTTGAAATTGTGCCCCACACTGATCTTAAGGGGTATGGCAACGTCGATGCGAAACCCATGGTTTAAGGCATAAGAGAAGAAAACCATGACGGGCTATGTTATGCTTGATGCGTTAGAGGAACATTTATATATAATTTTAGTGATTTTATCATATTAATTGATAAAAGCGATATTTTTTAATATTCATACATAGTTTAGTAGATGACATTAGTGTCATGGAGCAGGACGGGCTCAGTAAGTATGTTGTTCGCATGTATGGAGGTTTTTTGGTGAACAGTATGTATTTTATGGCGTACATATATGGATATTAGGACAGAGAGGTTTCTATAAATACAAGAGATATTTTTAGGAGAGATTAGGAGAGAGGTTTCTATACATATAGGAGATTTTGCAGCATACGTGTACAGGAGATCAGGATTACATATCTACTCCCTCCATCCCAGAATATAAGCATTTTTAGAGTTGGACACGGTTATTAAGAAAGTTGATAGGATTAAATGGGGGGGGAGGGTGTTGTGATTGGAGGAGAAGTGAAGGTAGGTAGGAAAATTGAATGGTGGAGGGTTGTGATTAGTTGAGAAGAGAATGTTGGTGGAGAAGTTGTTATATTTTGGGACAAATTCCATAGGCTATAAGTTGTTATATTTTGGGACGGGGGGAGTAATAAGTAAGACATGGACACTGTGAAGTGAAGATGGATTCTTTATTATATTATTGATATATTAGGTTTATTTTTAAGTATAAATATGGTTCTATCTATTAAAAGAGCACATACCTTTAAGACAATGGTAATATGTAGTGGTGATAGATAAGTATATGTATAACCGGGATAAAGTAACTTTTGTTTGAATATCATTTGTCTATTTGACGGTATACATATTACTTTTATGATTATAATTAAAGTAATCTATGGTCTTTATAGCGAATATGGTGATATATGACTTCTTTTAACATTCTTGCCGGCGCAGTTGTGCGGGCTTCCTTCCTAGTTGTAATAATGTTGACAAGTTTCTACCTTTTCAGTAGAAAAAAAATGTACGCTGATGAATTTTGCATGGAAAATTAAAGAAAACCACACAGTAACTGAACTCGATGTAGGGCTCACGATCTGCTAGAAAAAAGCAGCATTTTGCCTATGCTTGATAAGAACATGTGAATCCATAAGTTCATACACATTCAGACCGGCAATATTCAACATCAGAAAACCCTTATCCCAATTAACAAAAATCCATATCCTGATGGCGCTTGGGGAACAGTGGAAAGCCTTGCAGTCGATAGCTTATTAGGGTTGATCGGCAGCGAAGGCGAATCAATCAGTAGAAAGATTGTAATGCTTTCAATTTCGCCCTCATGGAAGCTACTGATCTGTACATGGCCCATGGATGCAACCGATCTGGACGTATCCTCAATTGTATCACTTTTTGTAGACTTCTTGAACTATTATTAGTGAGATAGAAAAAATGTAAGAACAAAATCAAAATAGAGTTGAAATATGTTGTAAGTATAGGGGATATAGATCCAACCCGGTACTAGCATACCTACCTAGGTTTCATGCTAACATCGGCACATAAACTATACAGCATCCTCAACAGTATCATGCTTTGTAGACTTCTAGAACTATTATTGGTGAGAGAAAAAATTATAAGAACAGAATAAAAATAGAGTTAAAATCTATTCTAAGTATAGGAGATACAGATCCAAGAATGGTCAATGTTAATTAGAGTTGAATGGAAGCTATGAGTCGTCTAATAATTGATCTCATAAGGGTTTTAAAGCATCATTGGCATGCTTTTATCTTTTTAAGAATTATATCCGTACTCAAAGTTGAGTTTACAAATTCAGGTCCGATTCGAGAGTTGAAGAACTAGCTTATAAGCATCCAGTTGGTGAAAATATATAGAAACTAGGTTTTTTGGCTTTTAACTAGTAGTTTATTCTTTAGATTCTATAGCTATCGCTTCTCAAAACCTGAATGAGAATATAGGCTATTTGGTTGAGCTGGATATTCTAGAAGTAGTTATAGCTGCTGAAAACTTCTCAAATAGGGTATTAGCTCCACCACTAGGGATGAAAACAATAATGTTTCAAGGTATTTGTGGTGCCAGCTACACAATATAAGAAAGAATAAGGAGGATGGGTTGACCGAGGAAAAGTTACCACATACCCTTCACACATTGGTGTCTCTCGGCCTATTCACCGCCTTCACCGTACATCGACAGTCCCTCGGATATACATGTCCCGCAGACACCCACGGTCCATCAGACCTTCACACATTGATGTCCCTCATCCAATTCACCCCCCCCCCCAACCCCAAGCTTGGCTACTTGTGTTTGATCCTAAAATGAAAACCAGGGTTGACGAAAACACAAGGTTGTCGTTAGGACCTAGGACTATATTCCATAAGGAGAAGAGCTTCATGGCAAGAGTAATGCACCGTGCCCATAGCCCATAGTTCCAGCTTCCACCTAAGAAAAAGGTGATGAAGACACACATAAAAGTACAGGCCATCCAATGCAGAGTATCTTCGAAATGGGGAGGATTGGTGAGGAGTAGCAAGCGTGGTTCTTTTTTCGGGTGTGAGGAAACCGGGACTTTAATAGGATGCACAAAACTTGCAAAGACACGGGACTCACCTCCTTTTCTCCTCCACGTCAAGGTTTGGCGTAGCTAGACCGACGAGGTTACTCGCCACGCAAGCGCCCTGTGAAGGGCCTCATGCTAGCAATAGTTGCAGTGGTAAAGCTTCAAACCAAGAAAGAGACCAAGAGAAACACTACCTCTACAAATTTGATAAGGTATTTTGACAGTTAGTAAATCAAAAACACATATACTTCTTTCATAGTCAGAAACCAAACCTTGCATTCCATTACATTAATTAGTTAATCAAGACCAACAAACCACACGTTACAAAGTAGAGCCAGATACATTTTACATCCCTGACAACTGCATGCATACGTAGTTGCATACCACTGCTGACTACTGCTCGATGGCAGAAGCTTTAGCCAGTACTCCAGCAGCTAGCCATGCATGCTCTTCCCTCTCTCTCAGACTCTCACTACATAACAAATTAAGCTACAGCTATCAAGGTAGATGCTTCCAATATCCAAAGCCGTAGACCACATTCAGATATGTATACGTAAATACACATATATAGCACACATAATATGCATATCTCGTACTCTTGTTATCTTTACGTGCTTGTTGTTTGTTGACACACATTCATTTCTCCGTACGTCATGTCTGCGGCCCGTTGGCTCTGCATGCACAAATGCATTATATAAAATCATGAGAGACACCTCGATCACTACTAGAAAAATGATGTTTCATAATATTGGCTTATTATTTTTATTGGTGGAAAAATTTAAAAACCACCAGCAAACTCGTAACGAGAGGGTGAGGGGCACCGACCATCAGCAAAATGAATTTTCACTAGCGACCTATCTAATGCAGCCGCCAGCGAAAATATGTCATTTTTTTCGATCGATCGAAATCGAAGGCGATATGATCGATCGCTGATCGATCTTGCGTCAGTAATTTTTACCTGCTCTGGCGCCTGTTCGTGTTGCCGTCGTTGTTCTTGTCCCTGCCATTGCCGTTGCCGTTGCCGCTGCCGCGGCCGGCGCCGGCGCCGGTGCCGGGGTAGCCGTAGTTTCCGGACTCGATGCTGCCGCAGTCGTCGACGAGGAGGTCGAAGTGGCGCCTCACGTCGTCCGCCGTCTTCCCCCCGCCGACCACCGCCGCCACGCGCTCCCACCGCCCCGGCGTGTCGCGGTCGTACATGGCCAGCGCCTGCTCGAACCTCGCGTTCTCCGCCCTGCTCCAATCCATGTACACACACACGCAAACCCTTCTTCTTTCTACTCCTCTTCTCGCCGGCCGACCGATCGTTTGTACGCTCACTGCTCAGTGCTCTAGCTTGCTGGCTGCTGCTGCTTCCAAGCGAGCACTCGACTGAGCCATATTTATAGGGGAGTGTAAGCTATCTAATTAGCCTCTTAGCTAGTTTGTCGCGAGCTGCTGCAAATGGTAGTGCAGATTATATATATGCACTAATTTAAGAGGCGACTTGCTAAAGATGAAAGCTTAATGGAAAGGAGAATTAAACTGCAAATTGCTGCAAGGATGCAGCCTGATCGGCGGCCATTGCCACGAGAGGATCGGAGAATAGCTCAACAGCGGCCGCGACGAGCGATTGGAGGGCGTTTTATTCGACAGACGTAAGAAAGTATCGACGCTTTAATTTAGCTGGATGGAAATGATCGATCAAATCAATCCATTATTTTACCCCCCGCTGGCCTCTTGGATTTTTTTAAGTTCCAGGGAGTTAATTGGTCGCCACATAAGCCGGATCGATTCCATTTTGCATCAGTCGACAGATTAATTAGTTTATGTGCCGGGGTTAGTGAGGTATAAAATCCAGTTATACTTGGGTGATTCTGAAAGGTAGATAATGCATGCACATGTACTTTGACATATGTTTTTTTACTTGCTGAAACACGAGTGTCATTTTGAGTGCTGAAGATACTATTTACTCGTAAATACAGCAATATTTATTTAACTGTATGTGTTGTTATTTGACGCTGTTATGTGGATCAACATTAACACAAAGAGATAGCTGTGAGCAGTCGGCCTGAAAAATGCTTCCACTAGAACATATATGCAGGTACATTGTTCAGGAACTGGATAGTCTGGAATTTTCCCCCCTTTCTCTGAAAAGAATTTTTCACTTTTCTTAGGCGCAGAGTAATTAAAGCAAAAGCTCCAACAAGCTAGATTTGCACTCTGGATCTCTTTTACCTTATATTGAAAAGAGATGAGCCAATCATATATGATCTCACATATTTGGCATGGCCCATGACTATCAGTCTAGCACATTTAGGTTCCATCAGATAAGAAAAATAGTCAAGTTGACAGCCAGACTTTATGCCCAACACCAATATACATGCATACTGCACCAGGCTTTAGGTCCCTCAGAGGAATTAGAAAATCACTTGTTTGGAGATCATGAACAAAAAGCAAATGATAAGGAATAATTTCATTTGTTAATATGGAACGTCTAGCACAAGTGCACAAAAGAGGGGGGCCATAGATGATTCCTCCTCCAGCATTATGTACACTAAAAACTGCACAAAACACAGCTAGCCCAAGTGGATGAATGCTAAGCTGCTTTGGGGTTGCACACCTGAGATAATCACGCACCAGGTAGCATATTGGCATCAAGGGAATAGGCTCTAATCTCTATATATTGTTTCTGTGGTGATGGTGGCAGTGGATTTGATTCAACTTGGACATTGTCATTCGTCAGCCTCTCTGTAGCATGCATCGGCGAGTGGTCTTCAGAGTTCTGACGACTAGTCGTTGTCGGCTAGAGGTTCTGTGCTTGACTAGCTAGTCTGGGACATTCAGATTCATATATTTATATTCAGGTGTAGCTCTGCCTTTTCAGAAAAGAATTCATGTAGGAGTAGCTCTGTTTGGATGGTGATGCATTTTCTGTGTACTGTGATTTCAGAGAACCCCTCCTCGACAGAGCACAAATACTCGTTGAAAGCTGCAAATGATACAAAATTTGTTACTCCATCTTTTTCCACCTAGAAAACGACATGTATATACTTGATCGGTGGGAATTGTTGCGTATCTTCTTCTGGTTCGGAAGAATCAAAGAAAGAAGCTCAACCATAAAAATGCATTGCAATTTGTTAATTAATTAATGTGAAAAGATATTCTAGTGCCGAAAGAAAGGTAAAAGGGATGCGTTGGAAGCTCCTGGGTAGAGAATTTTCAGATGCAAAAATTGATATTTGGGTAATTGGATCCATGCCATTGCAAATTTGCCTATCCAGAAAAATGCTACTCCCTCCGTTTCATATTTTAAGTCGTTTGATTTTTTTTTCTAGTCAAGTTTGACCAAGTTTATAGATAAATTTAGCAACATCTAAAATATTAAATTAGTTTCATTAAATATAACATTGCATATACTTTAATAACATGATTGTTTTGTGTTAAAAATACTAATATATTTTTCTATAGATTTGGTCAAACTTAAAGAAGTTTGACTTAAAAAAAAGTCAAATAACTTATAATATGATATAGAGGGAGTATTACAATTCATCTATTCATCATCGTGCCACTGAAACTTTATAAAATTAGGACCATACCAATACTGACACATTTTTCATCCATCCTTTTTTTTCGGTTTTCTTCTTTCTTTCTCCCTTCTTCCCTATCCTCTCCTCTAGGGATGGCAATTTCACCCGTAGGGTCGGGGACCCGCCCCTACGGGGGCGGGGGCAGGTGACCTGCGGGTCCCCGAAGAAATGTATATTAGACTATTAATAATAGCATATTACGAGCCCAAAAGACCCATCTAGTCTAACCCTAATTCCTCATCTATTCCCTACCCTAACCTTATCCTCATTGAGCTCCCTTCCCACCCCACCCAGCCATCACGCATGGACGGCAACAGCGGCGGCAGCGGCGGCCACGCGCGGCGGCCTCTTGCGGCCGGCGGCGGTGGCGGCCTCTTACGAGCCGCAACGTCGACGACCAAGGGCACGGCCATCGGCGTCGGTGTCAGCGGCGCATCCGTGACAGCGACGGCAAGGGCTAGCATCGCATCCACGGCAGCAGCGGCCATGAAGGGCACATCCGCGGTGGCGGCCAGGGAGGCGCATCCGCGGCGACAGCGGCAGCGATGCCCAGTCCCCAGCCACCTGTCTATCGTTGTCCCTCGTCAGCGTCGCCTCGGCTCCTCGCTCGTCAATCATCAGTCGTCAGCCGGGTGGTGCGGGGGCCCACTCACCCGCGGGTCCCCTGCGGGGGCGGGGACGGGTGATGGTATTCACCCGACCATCTCTGCGGGGCCGGGGCCGGGGGAGAAGTCTGGGAGCGGTGGCGGGGGCGTTCTGGCCCAACCCGCCCCGTTGCCAACCCTACTCTCCTATTTCCTCAGCGCGCCATGGGCCAACAAGGCGGCCGCGAGATGCTCGTCCTCATCCTCTTTCTCCTTTATCTATCCCTGGCAAGTCCAGCCGCCCATCGCACTCCCGGACGGCGCGAGCCGGTCCGCCGCGGCATCGCCCCCGGTGTGTGCCGCCTCCTCCGTGGCCCCAGGTGGCGGCAGCGATGGGCTCGTCGTGGCGACGATGAGGTTTCTGACGGCAGCGATGGTGAGCTTGTCGTGGCGGCGATAAGGTCTCAGACGGCGGCAATGGCTAGCTTGTCGTGGTGGCGATGAGGTCTCAGACAACGGCGAGCTCCATCATCAATTTGTTTTCCTCCCTGTGAATTGTGATCTTTTTTCCAACGGCAAGCTCGTCTTGTCTCGGAGATGGAGGTGTGCTCCATTGCCAATTTTTCTCCTCCTGTTTCTTCCGATGGCGGTGGCGAGATTGTCAGACGGCGGCAAGCTCCATCGCCATTTTTCCGTCGAGGAGGAGATTGCCAGCCGGCCTGGTCAACGCAAAATGGATGGAAAACGTTTTATAAAATTTCAGTGGCATGGCTACGAATAGACGAATTGTATTGGCATTTATCTAAATAGACATGTTTACAATGGCACGGATCCAATTTACCCTTATATTTACTGTTATGCATTATTATCAATTAGTCCAATACTGATCCATAATGCTAGTGTACTTTTCCTTCGAATTTTGTGGGCGCACGCCGAAAGATTTTATGCTTCAATTTCTGATATATTATTGCGTACTACATCAGCATTTACAACTGTATTTGACAACTACTAATGTTTGTGCAGTCCTCTAACAAAATATTTCTACAGTGATTACTGATTTACTGTAGGCACAAGTACAAATATTGTTAAGTTTATTTGTACAAATTCTCTTTACTCTCTCCGTGGAATGCATGATGTTTCCGAAAAGTCAACTTTGTAGATATGTTGTTAGTAATGATCCGCGTATTTTCTAGGGAAAACATTTTCATAGCAAGATACTTTAATATTTTTTCACATACATATAAACAGTAAAAGTCAGATGTGCCAAAACTTTTTAAAAAATAAGCACCACACAGCATAGCACAAAACCACAAACTGAGTCTAAAACCTTGTGCGAACCAATAAGATTTCTGCCCACTTTAAAACATATGATTGAAAAAACACAACAATTGAAAAAACACATGATTATGATAGAAATGAAAGTGTAAAATTGTGGACTGTAAAACATAGAAAAAAACAAAAATAGTTATTGGGTTAGACCGTAGAAAAAAAAGGATTTTGAGAAAAAGAGAGATTCGAAAGAAAGTTTCTATGAGGTTAAACCTAATGCTAAATTTTCTCCAAAACTTTTATGGGTTGAGGTAAGGGTCATTTAGACAAAAATAATAATTTGAAAAAATTAAACCTATAGAATTAAAATTCTATGAAATTTCTATGTTTTTCCTTTGAATCAAAGTGGTCTACGTAGAGATTGATTGGCCTATAGACATATGTCAACTATGAAGGGAGGCGCGAGATTGATTGGTCTCTACATCCCCACGGGAGCTTTTGAGCCTTTTCAAGTCTTGTATAGACAAAAATTCACCATATATTCCTCCTCTACGTAAGCAGATCTTGCATATGGATGGCCACGCGAGGTGAGCCATCGAAGAGAAACAGCTTTGCACCCAGGGAATGTGTGCTAAAGATCCGGTGTTACCTGGAGCGAAAACGACGACCACTGCCTCGGCTTCATTCCGATGCTCCCACAGGGTACGTAACGTACCATTCCCCTGTACCAACATGCCTCATTATCTTAGACATGGTAGGCACCCTACTCTCCAACCAGCCGCCGTTTTAGTGACCTCCAGCTTTTGCTGCCGTCTCCTGTTAAATCCATCATAATTTTGAAAAGCGACGACTTCTATTGCCAACATTATTTGTTAGATTCTTGGGAGCCTAGTATAAGATTATGATGCAGCTAGCAAATAACAATAGTTAGATATGATGCACAAAATTCGCATGGTTACATTTAGGATGCAACATAAATTGATAATATAAGATGTTTTTTAAGTATTTATAAATTTATTGCTTACAGAATAAAAAAGTAGTCGCCAAAGTTTTCAGGATGAGCTACAGTGACAGGTACCTTGTATTCAGAGAAGTTCACCTTGATTGGTGAAAATACTTTGACCCTGGGCACCTTGATTGGTGAAGCATTTGTAGCCCAAGGAAGAGTGCGCACCTAGGGACATTCCTTGACCCTGGGCATTTCCGAAAAGCTAAAGCCGAAAGCCCCAATGCCTCCTCCAAGGCTCAACTTTGAAAAGCCTTTGGACGCATTTCTTGCAGAATTATGCTCTCAGCATTTCCTCACTAAAAGCAGTCCTTATCCAAGGAGATGAGATGACGACCCAGCTCACAAGTCACATTGTCACAACCCCTTTCAAACGCCAAAAACAGGTCCAGTTCTGTGATAAACCATGGAAACTTTTACAACAGCTTTTATTTCTAACAAAAACCATGGAAACTGTTACAGGAGTTCTGAAATCAAAGGCCCGAACTCCTATAACTTTGAGCTTATTGGAATGCTTAAATAGGCATTCTATGCGTACATTTCAATAGTTACAAGCATTTTCACATGGCTAAATCATATCAATCTGTCACAACATGATATCTTGCTCCGTGCACAGCACTTATTTAACCATGTCCGCGTGTAGCCTCTTCAACATATCATGTTTGGCTAGTGCTACATGAAAGAGACACCAAACGTACACATCATGAATAAATCTAACGGAATTCAAACAACATTATCAGTTTATTTGTATCGATGATACAGCGGTTGACACCTCCCTTGTTCTTGGGTCACCAGCTTCCAATGAAACACCTCGGGGATCTTCTCGAACAAGAAGAGGGAGAACACCAGCTGAGCTCCAAGCTTTGGCTACAGCATCACTTGCTTCACCCAAAATCACTGAGAAAACTGCATCAAAGCCACCGGCCCCAGGAACTCCAGCTAGTAGAACACCCTCCATATTCATAGTGGCATCCAGAAGTTGAGTTTGTGATTCTGGCTCAATCTGCAAAATGAGGACAACGAGACAGGTGTATATTACTATAATGTCCCCATTATCTACAAATTAATAGCTAAACAATTTGTCTAGATGTAACTATGCCAGCCACCATGTAGAAGAATCGATCATGTTATCTTCAACATCCATAATTTCATTAAAAGGAACTAAGTCTTACTGGAACACCAGCTGCTATGCCCATCTCTCGCATATGAAGCCTTATTTCAAGGAAAGCATCTCTTGCGGCCAGTAATGATCTAACAATTAGTTCTTGATGTTGATTGGTAGCCACCTCTGTCCACTTGCAAGAACAAAGAGAAAAGGTTTTAGCATATAGTACTGAAAGACGAGTTCTCTTTCCAAATTCACAGATGCACCTGGTGATAACTAAGAACAAGAAGCATGCAAACAACAAAGATAAGTATTTCAGAAATCAGAATTGTGTAGAAGATGCTGTTAAAAAATTGGATGGTTCAAGCTCTGGTCCATCAAAAAACACTTTTCCAGGATAACAGTTGCATTATTTATGCACTATATAACCGTGATCCTTGATGGAGTCTAAACAGTTAACAATCATATTATTAACCATAACAACATGATTTCTTCTTGCCCATTGAAACAAATATATTATATGTTTACAATATTGAATGTTTGATATAAGAATATGTAATCTAGTTATTTACCTTACTGCACGTGAGACGACTACAGGATCGTAAAACAGATTCATAGGCTTCCCAGTGATCTTCAGCAAGTTTGTTTAGGTTCCTCAGTTGGTTCTCAAGCACTGAATTAGCAATCCCCAATTTACTCCATGTCTCCTTGGATTTCTGAGGGTCTGACTTCTGCCACTGTTTCACAGATCCAACCATTGATGGAGTGGATGATCCTCCAGTTCCAGGTTCCCCTAGAAGCTAACAAAAAATTCCCTATAGTCAGAAGTAGTACTTATCCTTACAATCAACGAACAGAACACAATCTCCCTAATCAATAAGGCAACAAGCAATCAAATAACACTGCAAAGAATATTGGATAGATTGTTCATATTGCGTTCTCACAAAAAATGTCTGATCTCTGCTGTGCCTTGTAAACAGAAAGGCGTTTCTGGGTAGTGCCCTTAAAGCTTCATCTAAAAGTTCTGCATTTCAAGTCACCTAAATCAAAAGGATAGATATTTTTAAGAGAATGCAAACCTACAAACTACGTTCTGGTTGAGGAATGCATAGTGATCACAAAAACTAGCATGTTCATTTCTTACTGAGAAAAAAACAAGCATGATTTGTAGCATTCGTGCTTATAACAGTATTTTCTCACAAACTGTGATAATAAAAAACAGCCATGAACTGATGGTTAAAAAGGCACAATAGAAGTGCAACTAACCTCTAATCAAGCTGTAAATCTTATAAGGCAATCATCATACCCATAATTTTTCTAATGACTGGTGACAGCCCGTTAAATAGTTTATTGACCATTTAGGAAACCTAGTCATCAATCATAAGTTCTTTTTAACTTACAAGGGACATTAGAGGAGGCAAGGAAAACTTAACCTTCTCATGATCCCAACTCTGTGTAACAATATCTGCCACCACATCTGCCATGCAGTGCCCACCTGTAACCTGTAAATATTGTGCAGATATATTATCAGCCAATCAGATATGGCAAGCTTTATAATAGAAAACCTTTTAGATAGACAACTATCTGGTAATGACAGTTTTTTTTTTTATACCTGAGCCGAGGATAATATTTCTGGAGAAAACCTTGTGTAACGTTGACTCCCATAGACAGCAGCACTAACATCAAACCCACTGCCAATTTTTCCTTGTGCTATACAATGTGCACTTTGAGCAATAGCATGCAGCAAGTCAAGATCTCGTCCAGCTGCGTTGCCACCGGAAGATTGGCCCAAACATGAAAGGTTAACAGTTCCAAGATAGTGAAGAAGAGCTGCAACTACTGATGTGGTCATGGCAGCTGATGACCCAAGTCCAGTTTTGGCAACTTCAGGTTTGCAATTTTCTCCAGTCATTGTTCCATTAGCAACTTCTGAATTAAATGTAATTGAACAGAATGGAGGCAACGAAAGCAATACCTCTGGAGTTAGAGGAAGGCCACGTGCTTCAATCTGGAGAAACGATAGAAAATAGCAAGCTAATTATTTAACAGTGGCACAACTCTTTAAGGGTGATCTGCATTG